CAGGAGCTCACCCTGCTAACGCGAAGGCTGGACTCGGACCGCTGAAGCGTCGACCATTTCTGGCCGGCAACTTTCAGCATCATTAAGCCGCTGCGCCACCATGTCCCCCATATATGCGATTAGGTAGAAAGAAAATAGAAACTTCTTTGTACAAGGCTGTGCATAGGGTGAAATGAAACCTGTGTTTTGTTTGTACCTCACTGCAAAAATTTGACCTTGGAACCTGACAGAAACAATGCAGAGTTCAAGAACCTAATCTAGATTGGCTATGTCTTAGGAGGCACCATCTGAAAACAAAGTTGGTAGATGTGTGTTTTCCTTCATGCTTACTTGGCTCAAGCAGGAAAAATATTTTCCTAAGTTTTGGGGAATCTTAGAACAACAAAGTCAGGGTACAACAAAGAACCAGATAAGTCAGACTGCATTCCATCTCTATTACTGGTAAGTGTGATGCAAGATGGCTCGGTTGTCTTTATGGTCTAAATTTTTTATGTAACCCCTGTGTGCTACTGCTGAGAACCTGCAAAAGAAGCAGGGCTGCTTGCCTGGAATTGTTCTTCAGAAGTGTGGTCTGATCTTTGCTGGAGAATCCTGAATTCTGGTACCACGTGTGTTTTTTGTGACAGCATGCTGGGCAGAACTGGGAAACCAGGCATGAACACTGCAAGCGATTGTGCTATGTAGGGAAGAGTTGAGAGAAATCCACCCACTCATCTGTCATCCAAATCATTTGGGAAGGTTTTTGCCTCTGCAGGCACATGCCCATGAGGGACTGAAGAAACTCACAAAGAAATACAGCTTACAAAGCAGGCGTTCTCTGCTGTTCTCTTCTAGGAACCGCAATCTGAGTGAGAGCCGTATTGCTTTGGCCCATTAGGAGGCAGGCTTTTCAGTATCCTGTACAAGCGTATTACTGCCTAGACCAGCTCTTGAACAAAAGTTAATGCACAAATGCCAGGTTTGCTTCCAAAGATTCCACTTATTAATGTTTCCCTTTATGAAGACAACATTTGCATATAGATAGATAGATAGATAGATAGATAGATAGATAGATAGATAGATAGATAGATAGATAGATAGATAGATAGTGTTTTTCATCTAGTCATCCCAGACAACATACAAATATAACAAAAATCTTAAGTTTAGGCTTAGCATATTGGGGCTAGAAAAATCCAGACTACCACTAGATGGCAGCAAAGAGATACAGAAAACTCTTCGTCGCCATTTACTTGGAGGGACCAAGCCTGGAATGGCTTGGATTGGGGTGGGTCCTTGGCTAACAACCAGTAGAATTCACTTAATGGCAATCGGGAGTGCCAGGATTGCAGTTGCTAAGTGATGCAGTCACGTAACATCTTGCTTTACAACTTCGTCACTTAGCTGTGGAAATTTTGGTCTCAATTGTGGTTGTAAGTCGATGACTACCTGTAATGCATTTGGAGGAACCCGAAAGTCAAGCATGAACAATGCAGATAAGAGAATGGGATTTGGAAGATTGAAGGGAGAAAGGCAGTGGGGGGACTTTACAGATAAAGAAAATGAGCATGGTTGAAAGAAGGGTGGGTTAAATAGAAAAGAGAATAAAACAGAGGATCAGCCAAAGAAGAAGGGATCAGTATAGACAAAGGGAAGCAAGTGAGAAATTGCTTCCCACCTGGAGAACCACTTGATGAAAGAATTCTCAGGGACAGAAATCAAGAAAAGGCAGTTCTCCTGTAGCTTGTTTATGGATGGAAAATGAAGCTACTTTGGTCCAGAGAATCTTTGCTTCTAGGCTGTTTTTTTACTACTTATATACTCTAGTAGGAATTCAATCATCATTCAGTGGCAGAATTCCAAGTTAAGATAGTGGGGTTAATGGTTTAAAAGGCATTAGTCTGGGAGTAAACAGGCTGCCAATTTTTCTTTCTCATGGCCTTAGACAAGAAGATAAGATTCAACAGGATGATCAATGGGGCTCATATTTTCCAATGACTGTTACTCCTCAATTTGCCAATGCAATTTGCAAGGTTTGAAAGAAATGTATGAAATGTGCATCTTAGAGAAAAGTGCACACAAAAAGACAAATTTAGGAACTCTATTTGTAGAACAGCATATATTCATAGGAAAAAAACATTACAAATTTACATGCATGCAAGTAAAATATCAGGAGGAAAGAGAGGCAAATATAAGCATATAAAATATTAGGAGACGTGAAAAATACCAAAATACCAAATATGCAACTCAAAATATTTCATAGTGATTTACAAATGGGACTTCTTCAACTTATAATTATTACAATGGGAAATAATAAAATCAAACCTGATGAAGTCACCCATCCCTCTTCAGGGTCTTTAACGATTAGCTAAAGTCGACTGGATGCTGCCATCTGTTATAAGCAAGGAAAATATCTCCTGGGTTGAGTGTTGAGCTTAGCTCCTGGTGACCTCATGGGATACCTTATTGTTTCTTGGCAACAATATAAGAGTGATTTATTGTTGCTGTTGCTGTTATGTTTGGTCGCACAGTCAACCAGATGTTTAGATGGGATTTGGCATTTTTATCCACCTTCCCAAAGACCTAGGATAGGCAGATGTTGTTGTCTGATGGTCTTAAAGGTATCATTGCAGGATGTGAGCTGTTCCAAGTAAAGCTGCCTTTTGCAACTGACTGATGGTGATTTTG